TCCAGTCAAAAATTCTTTAATTTCTGAGTTGACCCAAATGAAATTCAAATCCAACTAGAGCAGACGCATTTTAACTGAGCTAAGACGTCTGCCCTAGAAAACTGAGATACAACTGGTCCTTAAATATTGATGTAGTTTAAAATCATTTGGAAACAGCTAATGTAATCTAGCAAATCCCTACACCTAGTTAAGTGCTTTATTGAAAAATTTTTAACGGAAGGATTATGAGCTATCAATATCCCTAGTATGGTAAGAAATTTTTCATTTTTGAGATTCACACTCATTACATTAGGTCAGGATTTTATTGTATTATAATGAATAAATAGAGTAAATAGAATGAAACGTTTACATAACTCTGAAAATCAATTTTAATAATTAGTCAAAAAATAGCGGTAGTACACCAACAATAGTGGAATCATTTCTCTAACTGTTGATTTCAATAATTAATAAAAAATCTTGGAGTTATTTTATTAAATTTTAAGATAATCAACTATCACTGAATTAGGTGTTATCACACTTAAAAATTTCATGTTATTGTTTTCGTTGAGTCTTAGCTCGCTAGGAAGGACATCATGAACTTTTCAAAATTTACAACACTGAGAAAAGAGATGACGACACAAAGAAAAGGTGGTATGGTGTTTTAAACATAAATGTATCTTTCTTGTGTTAAATCTAATTTTTCACTAATCTTTAGAGCTCTGGTATATTAATTATATAACTTATTTTAACTGATTTTATTATCTAGGCTGGAAAGCTCAACAGTAATAGCTCAAATTGGAATTATACCGATACGGATATGAGTTGTCAAAGATTGGAGAATACTATAGACTCACGACTTACTTTTCAGTAACGATTTACATCCAAACGATATAATCGTAGGTTGTAGGTTCATCTTAGATCTTATCTTACACATAATCAATTTATCATTTGTTATAGATAAGGTATGTGATCTGAAGCTCTGAATATTTCCAAATTATTATCAACATTAATACTGACAAGTCATAGGGATTTTTTTTTTTTTTTTTTTTTTACTGACGTGAAAAAAGTAACAACTCTTGTACCACAGACTTCATCTGCGAAAATGCTTTTTACAATAAAAATTATAAATCGGATCCCAACACTTATGGCAAAGGCCGTTAAATGATTTCGATCAAAGTAAGAGGAGAAAGTAATCGGATACTGATTTTATTGGTAAATTAGACGGAAAGAGTTCAAGACAGTTTGCACCAACTTAATTTAGGGAGAAGTTTTACAAATCTTTGAACAGAAGTAGACAATGGTCTTGGTATGAGATTAACTGTCTTCAACCTGATGGTCATCATAGTTTAGCAACCATGTGCTGACAGCTTAGTAAACTTGACATTTGAGGTCGATGAATCTTTGTAACAGTAAACAAGTTCTTGGCTGTTTTCAATAGCTCTAATCAGTCATTTTGGTAGTGTAGTCAAGCATAATTATAAATTACGTCATTTACGGAGAATTTAAGCATGACAAATGTCTAGATGCTGATCCTTAAAAAGCGTAAACAGGCCTACCATACGACAGTGACTTGAGTCTTTTACTTTACATAATTAAATTATTCAGAACTATCGGAAATATACCCAAAAACATTATGTGTTCGCAGTTTAAAATGAAAATTTAATTGATTTCTACTGGTAAAAAAGCAGAAAGTATGTCTTAAACTGTTTTGTTATTTAAAAAAATCAAGCTTGATAATATTGCTGTACTCTTTTAGTATGCATAACTCGTCAAGTATTAAAATAACGAGTACTGAAGCTTTGAACACGAAAAAGTTTCTTCGTGTAACTATAAAATTATTTTTAGATTCTTAAATTGTAGTATAAAAGCTTTGTCCGATCAGACTGGCTACTTCTGTTTCATATGTAGTTTGAGAAACCATCCTGGTAACTACTGATTACTGATTCAACAAGATGTTCGCAAATTTCTTAAACCAAGTTTTTCTTTTTTTTTGTTGAAACTCAGTAAAAGCTGAGTGTTTTTGCTTCTACATATGAACAGTTTAGACTTGGAAAGAGTAAGTGCGTCGGCTTCTTACAGGAGTCTTTTGAGTACAAAGTAGCTTGCGAGATGTATTGCAAGCTCACTTGCGGCAGGTTTGCGACATATGAGTAGATCGGATTCTCACGCAAGTCAGGCACAAAGTTACAAAGTTACTCACGAAGGGTAGACATGACTTGTTGCAAGCTCATTTTAGCGGTGAACTTTAAGAGGGTGGCAGAGTTGCTTGCGAAGTTTTTTTTGTTCGAAATTATAGTTCGTTCTATCAAACAGACCCACAAATTGGTACATTTTTTTTCTCCATAAAACTAATGCTTTTGAAGCTTAGAAAAGCCATGATTGCTGTTTCTTAAGGAAAATCCACAATTGTCGATCGCAAACAAATTTGAGAACTTTCAAGACGACACGTTAATTTTTTAATTAATAAAAACAAAACTTTAAAAGAAATTTTTTGTTATCACGTAACGCGACGGAGTATCGGTGTAACCACAAATGAAACTCTATCGACGCTTATTCGCTGGATGAACGTGGTAGTCGAAACAGAAGGAGCAACATAGGCGATACAGCATACCGACGATGTGAAAAATAGTACTTTTCTGTAACCGTATTTTGTTTAAGTTTTGTGCGCAGTTGTTGTGAACCGTTGACAAGTGGGGGGGGGGGGTCTCGCGTTTCACGAATTTGCAACCGCGTAGAATCGATTCATGCCATATATTGTAGTAGTTTACTCTTATGTAAAAAATAAAATAAAATATACTTGAGGCACAATACTAACGCACCACCCTGGCGTAAGTAGGCCAACAAAAATGTTGCCTAAACCATAAGACTCAGTCAAGACTTGCGTGAAAATAGGACGAAGAGGCCTTCCGTGAATCTGCCACAAGTGGGCTGGCAAGAAACAACTTTACCCAAGACTTGCGAAAGAAGCTGGCGTACTTACCTGTCGCAAGTCTGCTTTACATACGTAGAAGCAGAAACCCACAAAGTTGGCGTTTTATGATTGCGCAAGTCTGTCCCTATCAGGGCAAGGATCAAGTTCAGAAGTTGTGAGATACGGAGCTTGGAACTATACTGTAGGCTACAGAATATCTGCTTCATCTAATGCTATACATTCTGAATAAAAACCCAGAACCTACCTAATAGAGAATAAGCGTGTAAGTACATTTGACAATCTTATGAACTCTAAACTATCGAGTAATCCCGCACAGCCAACTTCCGTTTTTTTATACGAATTAACAATTGAGTCAGCAAGCCTTCGAGCTCTGAATGGTTCAAGTTAGAAAATTTATCAAAATACCAAATAGTTCATTGTTTTATGTCAGTGATGTCAATATTGAATGTACATCACTTGAACAAATTTTAACTTAGCGATAAAGGGATTATTTATTAAAAAGTATCTGGGCCTCGTCAGTAAAGGTATGAAACGTTGATTGTCGATCATTTACACAAAACAAAAGCGTTGGATTTCATGAAACTGACTGCTCAAGATTCAAAAACTGCTTGTCAACTAAAATAAGAATGATTAGGTTACGCTATATGGAGCCCTCCATAAGTTTTTAGCTACTTCTTTATAATCTCAATAATATAAGCAAGTTAACAATTTTTTTTTCACAAGTTATATAATGTTAACACGAGGTCACTCTGTTGTACGAATTTCAATGTATGCTTGTTAACGTATTTGTAATAACATACAGTAGGAAGTGCGTTATAATGTTTTAATATGCTCTTCTGATTGGTCCTACCCTGGCTATAGTTTTTTAGCAATGCTTAATGTCTACAAGAAACTAAAGTGACAGAAACAAAAAAACATTCATTTGCAGCACAATAGAAGTGCATGATAAGATGCGTCTCATTCATCAAAAATATAATGAATAATCTTAATGGTATTAATATAGAAAGCACTTGTAACAGAGTTGCAATAATCATCACATGGAAAATGTTTAAGAAATTGACCTTTGAGTTATAACACTTGACTTTTACGATGAAAAAGAGCATCGTAGACATCATGGATGAAGAGTTTCAATTTTATTGTATTTTGTAATTACTGTCCAGAGGTAGGGAGTACATTCAATTTTAATGACTTGGGACCTCTAGATTTTCAATTAATCTATTCTATTAGACATAACAAATGTACAACCCTATTAATTATAGTGGTGTGGTTGTCTTATGGGATTTTTCTAGTTTGTACATAATAATGTTATTTAGGACATTCCAAAAGTAATAAAGCAAAGAGCAAAATAATTTTACATTCATAAGCCTTACACAAAACAATGTAAATTTATCAGAATTCTTTGTGTACGATTGAAAAAAAAGCTGTAGTAAAAAGTATGTTTTGTTACTTTATGTAATGTTTGCGTTTACTTACCCATCCTTTGAGTTTACTCTTTCTTCTTACCTGTCCCATGAGTTCTAAAGGCTGATTAATTTTCAGCTTCAATTGACTGCATTTTGTTGCTGTCGAAAGAAATCTTTAGTTAGAGAAAAATTCCATGTTTTCTGCATCTTTTGATCATGGCGTCGATGGTCTTACCAGAGATAATATGAAATTCAAGTCTTCTTAGAAATGAAAACTATCTTGATGTTAGATTCCAAAGGATATATAGTATAGATACATCTTTTTGTTACTGATAAGCGATTTTCGTATGTACAAGCAAATTAGGTTATATCAAGACTTCTCGCACTTTTTTGATACAGATAAAGTTCGCCTGGACATAAAAAACTTGTACTTAAATTTATGATTTCTCAACTGAAACTCCTCAAACTCTCTTCCTGATAGAACCAAATTCGTTACCGTTTGAATTTTTTTCGCACGAAAAGCAGCGAGGTGGAACTACAACCAAGTAACGTCATCTTGAAATGTACTTCCCGAACTTTTCTGTACCTGCACGATCGTGTCTTTCTCTTCTCGGTACACCGATTGAAAAAAATATATTTTGCACGTTTACAATGCATCAGTTGATGGTAACCACAATTTTATAAATATGTCTTTTGTTAATACATGGCAAAATATAAGGACCTTGCTCAAACATTTCCTGCCAGTCGTCGGTAAGGCAGGATTTCTACTAAAAAAAATCTGCCGGTATTGTGCCGGTATCAACTACATACACACACACATATATATATATATATATATATAAATAAAATAACACCTGTTCGTCTGCTCCAAAAACTTGTAGGTTCAGTACAGAAAAGCACATCATGAGCGAACAACAAAGTGAAAATGTTCAGGAAGAAGCGAGTGAACATGAAAATCCAGAAAAAGATGAACAAGCTGGTCCGTCAGCTTTGGATGTCCAGCTCGAGGAGATGGCGAGCGAATACGGTGCTTACTTGTCCGTCGACATGGACAGCGAGGTGAGGTGATGCTCCAAAACAAATGATAAATCTGCGGTCAAATGGCACCTTGTTTGCTGTCACGAGCTCATCACGGGTTTTTTTTTTTTCTGATTAGTTCAATTTTTACGAGTTCCAATTTAAATGGTGCAGTTTTTAATTCACGATACAAAAATAATTGAAATTGACAAATTTTTTTTTTCTTGGATAAGAAGAGACTTTTCACTGCGATGTTAATTTGATTCAAATACTTGTCATAACGAGGTTTTGCATTTTTTAGCTGAAAGGCGTCTTTGAATCTGTAGAAGAAATGCAACTGAGGCTAGAGGAGTTCAACTCCATGCTTGAAATGGTATGAATATATATATATAATATTATTTATTTATTTAATTTTTCTAAATTTTATGGCGCATACGGGAATGCATTCACCATTTTTTTGAAAGTTTTCAAATCTTAACAATTTAATTAACTAGTTATAGATAGGCTGAACTTTTTAGCGACCACATCCAATNTTTTTTTGTTATTAATAAATCTGTTTGTTAAAAAATTAATGTATAACAACTTTATATAACACAGGCGTATGCTAAAATAAAAAATTTGTTTTTTGGTTTACACATGTTTCTCAATGAATGTCTTTCATTACAAATCACCATGTAAATCTTAGAAAAATTCGTGTTTAACTAAGAATGTGCATGTAAACAATGTTTATTATAAAGTTTATTGGTTTTGTTTTTTGTCAAAATTTATTTAATTTTAGAGCTTAATTTTGGAAAAATATTGTTTTTCCAAAAATTCCAAACATTTACAATCAACATTTCTATTTCATCTTTGTCATAGTTCACCCAGTCAATATATATCTTTTTATTATTTTCAAAATCATGGTCTGCAACGCAAAATAAGCCTTTTTCTTTACCAGTAACAAACATCTGTAGTAATACCTGAGCTTTGTATCTAGCAGTGATCTTTCCATCTTGTAAATAATTTCCAAAGGTTTTTTGCGAGCTTGGACATTTGATCTCAAGAATAAAGTCATTACCAATACCATCTGGTGATGCCCCCAAATATGGGTAGTCAGCATGTAAAAAAATTCCACACTTTTTAATTTTGTAACCCAATTTTAAGACTTCTTTGAAAACTTCGTCTTCTAGTTCCCTCCCACGTTTCATAAAAGGATTTTCAAATTCGTAAGCTTTACCGAGAATCACTTTAACTAAACTTCCGTTTTCTGTTCTGCATTTAGAAGCTTCATATGCTTTGGAAGCTGTTATCCTCCCATGTCGTAATTTACGCCACAGTGAGCTTTTGCTCTGTAGCCGAGTTTTTTTTTCAGCCAGTTTGCACAACCTTTTCTGCATTTTGATTTTAGCAAACGTGAGGAAACCTTCTACATCACGAATGCCTTTTAAAAAGCACTGTGTCAAAATTTCATTCAATGACAAATCTATAAGGCTGTTTACATGCATGTCATAAGCTGAAATTAGTTGTTTTTCTTCTGTATTGGGAATTGTATTATCCATCTGTTGCATATTTTCTTCGCTATTCGCGTTCTCAGCTCGTGATAAAACGTGATTTTTTTCCCTTTGAATTTGAGCTGTTTTAGATTGATTTTCCTTTGAAACAAAATATGCATCTTTAGTATTTTCATTATTTTGGACTGCTGCAAATTGTTTTCCTTTTGTGTTGGATACTCCATCATTGAGGTCCTGTTTTTGATTGCATCCTTTGTTACTTGTCTTTTGCTTTGAAATTTTATTTCCTGTGTCCGATATGATCATTTGTTCTAAAGAACCTATTAATCTACTTCCAGCTCTGTCATTCTCAATTTTCTGTAGATACTTCAAAAAAGCCAAGGCATGCTCACAACCACCTGTTTATTATAAAAAAAATATGTATCGATAGACAGTTTCAAGTAAACCTGACCACATTGATTTTCTCACCATGAAAACACGTCGTGCATCTTAAGTTGCTTATAACTTTCTTGTTTTCGTTGATGGTTGAGACAACAGTGCAATACTTGTTTTGTAGACCTTTTTGTTCAATGTAAACTTGAGCTTTCAATGTACACACAAAGCCTTGACGTTTTGCGCAAACACAGCGAACAATGAAGTTTTCATAACTATTTTGGGAATAACTATTAAAACAGGAAAAATTGATGGTAAGATACATCATACAGATTACATATTTCGTGCATTTTCTAATTGTAAAAATTATAAAATAACGTACGTATTGATTCTGGTTTCCGCAACATTTTTGGCACTACTAGTGAAGAAAAAATTCAACACCATCGAGAAATCCACTTCAGGCAAATTTGCCGAACAGGCACCTGGTGATTCTTTGCATGAAACATCTGCCATTGTTGATCAAATTAACAATCCAACCCAGCAAGTTTTTTTTCGACTTCTCGTGTTTTCTTTTTGTGTTTACTGTTTTTATAACCACACATTTTTTTTGACACTTGCGAGGTCCAGTTAGGTCTATACTCTACCAGCAGGCACGATATTCAAAATTGCTCTAGAGCTTTTATCTCTTGCGAGGGGGTGAGAGAAAAAAATAAAATAACGGTTTCGTTTCAACAGTTACAAGCCAACAGCAGCAAATCGATATCGGAAAACGTGCCGCGTTTACTTGATCTGAAGCCGCATCTTGATAACTTTTGCAAGCGGGTCGACGTCCTCGAGGACTTCGTGTCAAGGGCAAAAGCCGACATGGCGAACCTCGAGAACCACTGTGAGGCCGCCGAGGCGAATCTCGGCACGTCTGATAAACTGTCTATGCTGAACCCCTTGACTTATTTCGTAAGTTTATTTGAATATTAAGTATACCTGCAGAATTGAGAAGAGGAAAAAAACAGTATCTGTTTTGCAGAAAAAATCACCAGAGCCGTCAACAAGTGCAGTTCCAGAAGTGGCTCTGCAACCAATCAACATATTTAAAACGGAAGATTATTTCCTTGCGGAGGAAGAAAAATAGTTTTTTTTTTTCGTACCATTACATTGTTAGAATTAAGTTTTTTAATATATTGTCGACGATTTTGTACATATATATGCGGTTTTGAGAATAAAAAAAAGTTTTAAGCTTTTTTGCAGTGTACATTTTTCATAAAATACACATGATTTTGACTGTAAATACAGTTTTTTTTTTCAATATTAGGATGTTGAAGAGGGTTAAAGTAAATAAAACCACTAAACAAGCATGATTATTTTGAATATTTATCTCATAACAAGACTCCATACAACAAAGTGTGTACACAAGACACACTATAGACGAGCCTTTTGTAAAGCTCAAAGTATTAAAATTGAGTTTCGATTGCAGTTCATTTTTCGCATTGACAAATATTTTTTTTTTTTTTTTTTTACATTCGCATCACTCTTAACAAAAAAACATGTGCAAACTTTGAGAAATAATTCAATTAATTCGATTTAAAGTATATTACATATATGTTTAGGTTAGCACATTGCTTGCACAAATCACTTTTAAAAAGCTTCAATTAATCTAAACTTTGCATAAGCCATTTTTTATCTTACATTAAATAAAATCTCCATCAGTTATCGGATGCAATGATAATGGTACGTTGTGACTGTTTTTCTTTATAAAAAATGATGAGTGCACGATTCACGAGCTTAGAAAAAAATATTGCTTAGCATTCAAAAGTCATTTCATAGATTATTTGTTATTTTATACATCCAATAGATCTTGTAAAAATATTCTCTATGCACTTTGAAAATGTATTATGTTATAAACATCAACTTCTTTTTATACTCTGCATGAAAAAATTGACAAACATAGATAAAAAAAATGAAAAAATTGTCTTATTTAAATAAAAATGTGTTTGATGGGAAATCATCCAGTAGGCATGTAAGAAAACATATTCTCAAAGATTGAAAAATGCTCTATCGGCTTGGTATAATTTGAAAATCAGTGCAACAGTAACGTTCTCCTCTTCAAAACAATCACTGTTCAACTCGATTCAACGGAATGTCGCTAGTGTTACGTCGTCTTCCTCGGAAGCCTTTGACCTTTTACAACAACAGGTCGACCCTTGACGAAGCCTTTCCTTTTTCGATTGGTCTGTAAGAAATTAATGTCGACCCCCCCATATCTTTTAAAAAAATTTAATGATCGAATGTCCTTAAAAATGGAAAAAATGGAAAATGATACGAAAGACCCTTGGGATCTTTTTTTTTTCTTCATTATAAAAATCTTGCAAAACTATTACTGACCTTTCTGCTGATATATGAACTCGCCTGGCGTTTTATCGTGCGTTCGGTTATCGGGATTCTTGGTCGATTAAATTCGTCTGGTTTCTTTACCCTACATTAAATACAAAACGTAATGTTACTTTTAATATTATTTCACTATGCGCACACGTACTTATTGTACGTTTAGATGGAAGAATTTTCGTCTATCACATTGAAATGACATTATCAGAAACAATTTTTTTTCTTCTTTTTTCTTACAATTTATCATGCAATTACGTAATTCACAATGATAAGACCGTTGCCACTGACCGTTTGGTGACACAACATGAAAATCTTATTTTTTAAACCGTTGGTGTTCACATATGCATTGTACCAACATAATGAGTAAACTTTTGGATAAGAAATTTTGTATTATCATTTGTAAAGAGATATGTTTCACCTGTATATCCTTACGAGCCAGTGCTCGGTGGTGTAAGCTTCGTTCAAATACGTGAGCTGGAAATTCTTGTTGCCAATCTCTGCGTTGCGCGTCCTATCGTAACCCGCGGGCGTGCGGTAATCCAACTCAATTTCACCAAACCGATAATAGCTAAGTTTGTACATGAGGCAATTGAGTAGGGTAGGCGAGGCCTCGGAATCGACGCGGAATTCGCCGCGCTCGGTGAAATAGTCACTTTCACGAATATCCTGGGGGTGCTCGCCTTCGGCAATACGCACCATCCACAGGAACTTATTGATATCATCGCCCGAGTAGCCAATCATACCACCGAATATGACTAGCACGTAATCAACGTCGAGGGACGTCATGATCTCGTATGCCGCACTCTCGTTCGAGCTCATAGCCTTGCCCACCAGGGCAATGTGAGAATTATTCCACGTGTTGTTATCCACCAGAGTTGTTCTAAAGAACGATTAATCGTTTACCAATCTTGCATGGTATGACAATCAGTTTTCATTGATATGTGTGTATTGACAAAAATTATACCTATTAGCCATGCCGGCTATCTGATACCCGTAATCCCACCAACTCATGATTCTAGCATCGGTCGGGGTGTTTTGAGCAAGCCAATAGTAAGCCTCGCGGAAATCGTCGAGGATAGCTCTGCTACCGTCACTGCTGTAAGACGCGAGTACAATGGACGGACTCGAGTAAGCGTTGCTCGTGACCCAAGTGCAGTGCAGGGCGAACATCATCAGCAGAACCATCATAAACAAAACGGCGCAAGTGAGCAAGTTGCTACCAAGGCCGTCACCGTTCTCCTTGGGTTTCTCGTGTTTTATTTTCCTGAGCTTGCCAGCTTTGTCGTACAGCGATCGGCCAGGGCTGCGCTCTTGCTCTTCCTCGCTCTCTTCCTCGATAGGACTCGGTCCGCTGTTTTCGGTCTCCTCCTCTTTGAGGAAAATATCGAGAAGTATGCTGAACGCTATTCCAGCGAGCATGCATACCACTGGTGTCAGTGTTAGCATCAAACGCACCATCACTCCGGCAAAGTATACAGCACTGAGGGCGTACAGCACCACTGAAAACAATGTACATTTGTTTTATCTGATCGTATGATAAAAATCATGCGGAAATTCGAATTTCATTTGAAAGGTAATGATTGTCTTACCAAATACACGCTCGTCGTTGATGTGTTTAATGCAGTACCAAAGACCTACTGGGAACGTTGTTATGAGAATGTGTAAGTCAAAGAAAAAGCTGAACCAAGTAGTCGGCTGATGCTCAGATACAGAGGCGATAATGGGAATGTGGATCTTAGCATAACCAGTATCCCAAAGCGAGTAAAATCGTCCACTCCACGGAGCCACAAAGCCTGCATAGGTCAAACCAATGAGAACAAGTAGAAATACACCAGCGATTCCTGCGACGATACCACCAAAATACTTTATTTCTGACTTTGATAAGAAAGTTCTCAAATATCTGAAACAAAAAGGGAGCAGTTAGTGATTCCCTTTAAACTTTTTTTTTTTCATCCAAAAAGAAACATTCTACGATGAGAGTGACTTACTTTAATCCACCAATTAGAATCAGTAAACAAAATACACCTGCAGCAGCCATATGCTCCGATGTACGAATTGGTTGGAAACCAACAAATGGGATTTGCATGCTGAACAGTAGTCCCAGAATATAAAAGATGGTATAACTTATGAAAAGGCGCTGGCTAAAACGATTCATCAACAGGAGTACAAAGACATGCAGGGGAATCAAGTTGATTATGAAAACGTATCCTCCCCATGCTGAGACCATGTAGAAGTAGGACAGGGCAGTCATAGAGGACCAGAAAATTGAGCCGGATTTGATGGACTTGACCCAAAGATAGTAAGTGAACTGGAGGGCGAAAATGGCAATGCCCTCATTGTCGTAGCTACCTGCCACTGATCTTGAAATGTAACCAGGAACAATGGCAATAAAACAAGCTGCAAACAGTCCAGCACCAGCGCTCCATATTTCTTTTGTTAATAGATACGTCGATATGGATGTCAATCCACTGAAAATTGGTGCCAAAAACACGCAAATGTCTTTGATGTTTATTGGTATGTTGAGCGAATGCAGGATGTAGTGGATCGAGCCAGATGTTATCATCAGGCCTGGATAAACAGTTCCACCAACAATACGTCCTAGAGGATACCATGCTCTATCGTCAAACCAGTTCAAAAAGTTGTAAAAACCATGTTTCACCATGTACGCTGTCGCACGATAGTTGAACCTAAAAGTAATATTTCAGTTGAAAAAAAAAAATTAATCTTTGAAATGTATGTTTGAACAATTTTTTTCATGAGAATCAAATAAAAAAAAAAATTTCAGTCATAAAAATCCATAGAATGCGTGTGCCATAGTTGTCCCCTCAAAAATGGTACTCATAATTATGCCTGCCACGTTTAAATTCCTTTATGTTGCAACAAATAAGAGTCGAAAGAATATTCCTTCTACACCAATCGCGTGAACGAAAAATAGAGCCATCATTAAATAGAGACTTACACGAAAAGAGATAATAGATGGAGATAAGAGCATCGAACAGGTAAGGCAACGACATGCATAGACTCAAAGTATAGGCTTGCTGGGAAACACGCATACACAAAAAAGCATGTGTGTATGCACATTAGCTCGAATTTCCAAAAATAATAGTTGACAGGAATGTTTTTAGATATTGTAAGCATTGTTGAAAATTCATAAAAATACCAACAAGCCTGTGCGCACTGCAATGAGTACCCTGCACCGTACCATATCTATATACCCAATAAATAGCACATGTGCCGCGTGTCGTGTCACGATTCTCTGTGATAAGACACAACAGCAGCAGCAGCAGGTGGAATTGGGTTGGGGATCGACGTCAGAGAGTGCGGCATGAACACGTTAAACGGACACTTTGTATAGATGTACTGGATATACAAACCAGGGATCAAACTCGTGGATGATGCTCTCGAAGCGGATGACGGCAAAGAGCCGAGATGCGAAGCCAGAGATCCAGGCGAGCAAGAGTATGGTAAAGGTGATGAGGGAGCTCCAGCCGGCGATGCTGGTCATGCTCGAGGACTTGATCTGTTTGGTGGTGTTCTTTTTGGGCCCCGGGCCGGCCGACGTGGTCTTTGGTGGGTGCATGTCTTTTTCTTCGTCTCCTCCTCCTGCACCAGCGGGACTTGTCTCTACAACGATACCCACCTGCAGGAAGCTTCCTCGATCTCTCTTTCGCACGGGTTCACTTGCTTGCTTTCTATCAACAGTAGTCCATGGGATCCCTGCTGAGTGACTTTTCTCACTGTTATGCTTATTGCTCCTCGAGAGGGCTTTGCTCTCTAATCACCAACAACTCTCTCTCTCTCTCTGCTCGGCGGTCGCAGTGTCCGCGCGACACGTAGCAAAACATGTACCGTCGTCGGGGGGAGCAGAAGCACCAGACCACCAGACTTATATAAATATACTATACACTATACATAACATTTTCACCAATCCGCTCTCGCCCCGCGATATATCACACGCCGGTTTGTCACTCCTCCGGTCGATTGGACATCTACCATACCTACACGGTTAGTTTGTGTGACACGTCGCAAAAGAGCCGGTTCCATGTTTGCCAACTGTTAGAGGGGCACCGGCTTTTTTTTTTGGTCTAGGTCTAGGGACTTTTTGGACTTGGCGATCACGCGAGAGAGAGCGCTTGGCTTGTCTGATTTTGAAAAAATTAAAACAAGATCATTTATTACGTTGAATTATTTAGCAGTGTTGATTAATTGAGTACATAATGAATCATTTGTTCCTTCATTGAATCTTAAAAAGACATTTACATAAATAATTGCAATTGTAAAACAATGTTTCCATTGCGACGTTTTCTGTACAAACTAAACATTTCCTTATTTCAACCAATCTGATAAGTAATGTTTGGATATGGATACGTTAATTTTTAACCAGCAAGTACATGTACATACGTATGTTAGTGTATAAGTAAGTTTAAAGTAATACAAAATATATAAAGTTTAAAATCAAAAAAGTTTATTTTACAAAATCACAAATATTATATTAAATTACCCACCACGTAAAATTATGACGGATACATGTTATAAATGCAAGAGGTTGGTTTAAAGTAAGTTATCTTTTAGTATGAATACTTGTTCGCTTCTTGATTCTTTGTTTGTGTTAATTGCACATTGTTACTTGACTGTAAATTAAAGCTTACATTTATATTCTAGGACAAATGCGTGGCAGCTCAATTAATGACATACATAAATATAACACATCTAAAAATGTCTCACATTATAATTCAACAAAATTATTAAATAAAGTTGTCAAACTTTGGTAATGTTTGGATAAATTATCGATATTAATTAGCTTTACTACTAAAGAGCCTTTTTGTTCTCCGTCTCATAAAAACGGCATTACTGTATCCATTTTGTCTAAAATACACATGAATGTCATAAAAGATGGTAAAAAAATTAGAGTAGATGGTACCAACAGCATTGCAATCACTTTCAATTTCAACCTTTCTCACATATTGAAATATCAAATAACTTTAAAACAAGAACTGACAAAAAATGTAAAAATCACGTTTTGGAAAAGCGATGAATCGTAGAATGATCTTGGAATTTATGCAGCGTGTCCAAATTATCCCACCAAACTGGTAGCTGGTGCGTAAGTATCAGCTTGAACCAGGGTGTTAAGGGAGAATCGATACTTTTTACAAAATCATCCATCTTTCTCTTGGAAATCCATTGAATTTCACTGATTTCATCTGGATTTGGATTCAGCGTGATCTTGTTCTTTTGCAAAAATAATACATAGTCTATCTCATGTTCTCCCCAAATCCCATCCCCAGCTGCCTGATAATGAATCCTTGTTAGGTAACAAAAGTCATCTGGGGACACTTCTGAGGTGGGTATGCCTAGTTCATAGCCAAGTCTTCTTTGGGCAGCTCTTCTGATTCCAAGGGCTTCTGCTTCTTCGTTTTCCCCTTTGATTTCGGCAAGCGGGTGACTACAGCAAGTATTTGTGTAGAAACCAGGAAAAGTTATCTATAAGGTCCAATACAAGTTTAACTTTTAGCAACTATCATTTTACTGGTTTGATTTATTTCAATGAGCAAAATGTCGAGCTCACAACTATATCAAAACAGAATCTTACTGTGAACTTGTAGATGTGAAAGTATTCAAAACCAAATAGCTCAGAGAAAAACAAAGAGCAATTAGCTTACCTTCGTAGCAGACCTCTTCTGTATGAGCAGGTCTCCCTTGGTGTTGAATAAAAAAATACTGAAGGCTCTGTGCAGAGGAATACTGCCATCTTTGGCGATAAGATGGCAATCTTTTTTGGTAGCTTCTCCAAGGGGTCTATCCAGCTCGTCCACGAGTATACACCTCTCCTCGAGAGCCGACCTCTGAAGGGGAGCTATCTGCATGTTCGTGTGGTGCCAACGAACAGCTAGCACCTCTTCTTTTAGCGCATTGCAGACTATTCTGCCAAATCCCAACATTTTTTTCGTTGTGTCCTACTCAAAGCTGTTCTTTTGACGATTTAAGTCTGTGGGTACAGAGTAAAACGCAAGCACGAATATCTCCTTATCTAAAGCATATGTCAATTTAACTCATGTATTATACATGTACGAAAGATGACATCAGTCATTGTATTGTTGTATTCATTGAAAACACTAATATACAAGTAAAAGACCTTTTGTCAGAGAACGTATTCATGTTTTCTGCTTTTGTTAAAATAATGTCTTACCTTATCACCTCAAGTACCTATGCTAGTGCCAGATTTTTTTTTTGGACAGTAACATTGGAATATATGAATATTTTAAGCTTCAGCACTCCTTTGACGCAAACCAAGCCTAATGTTCCTTTTTAATGAAAGCGACCGCATTCTTTGTATAAAACGATAATAATAATTACAACAACATAATTAAAAAGTATACAGCCACGTCACTGCTATTGTTATTAAGCTGTTTGTTCGTAATTTGCGATGTGGCAAATTGGCAAACAGGAAAGTATTTTATTTTAGCATGAAACCAGAGTTTATATACATATGAAATGCGTGGTGTCTGTAGGTAGACGTGTGTGTGTGTGAAGAGCCAACGAAAACAAAACAAAAACAGAAGCAGAATGCAAATAAACTGCGCGCTTATCAACCTAACCTTTCGTGACTGTAGAAAACAAGACTAAGTTAGGCCAAAAAGCTTTTTTTTTATTTGTCACGTGCGTGCGTGTGCACCTACACCGCACTATCGCAGCTGTTGTGTTGAGTGTTGATAAGTAATTTTAAATTTTTAGTAACCCGGTATTTTACTTTGTCAACAAGAATGATGTTTGACTAGAGTTGATTACATTAGCAGATGCTTTGAGAATGACGGAGGAAAAAGCTCAGGTACGGGAGTTCAAGCTCGATCCCGACAGCGAGTTGCGCTTTGAACTGGAAACGAAGAATGGAAAGGTTACGCTCGAGGTGATTGTTTACACGTTTTTTTGAAAGTGTCACGGTTGTCGAGATAGTCCCTTTTATTGTTTTTTACAATTGATAATTCGTAAGCTTGTACGTTTTTTTTCTCCGATTCATGGACGTTTAGGCGTCTTTTTTAATATTTATACATTTACATATTATACTTGAAGCCACGGTGCTTAATAGTCATTCTTGTAATTTCAGTTGAAAAGCGGATTAGCCGAAGTTTTCGGCACAGAGCTAGTGAAAGGAAAAAAGTATGAATTCACGTGTGGCGCCAAGGTGGCAGTTTTCACTTGGCAAGGATGTATGGTGGAATTGACGGGTAAAACTGATGGCAGCTACGTCTCGAAGGAAACTCCCATGAGTATTTACCTGAATTGCCATGCAGCTATGGAAAAGATGAGAGAGGTAGCGGACAAAGAGGACAAAATAGGACCGATAGTCATGATCGTGGGACCATCGGACGTGGGAAAATCTACCCTTTGTAGATTGTTGTTGAATTATGCTGTGAGAATGGGCAGACGGCCTATTTTTGTTGATTTGGACGTTGCTCAAGGACACATAGCCATTCCAGGCACGATGGGTGCTCTGCTCGTTGAGAGGCCATCAAACATCGTTGATGGCTTCAGTCAACAAGCGCCCCTTGTTTTTCACTTTGGACACAAAGATCCTAATGACAATTCCATGCTCTACAATTTGTTGGTCACACGGTTGGCTCAAGTGTGCTCGGACAGACTACAAGCCAATAAAAAGGCCAAAGTATCCGGACTAATCATCAACACTTGTGGCTGGATCAAAGCTGGTGGGTACAAAATGTTGACGCATGCCGCGCGAGCGTTCGAAGTCGATACGATTTTAGTGCTGGATCAGGAAAGACTTTATAACGAGCTTGTGAGAGACATGCCGAATTTCGTGAAAGTGGTCCATTTGCCAAAAAGTGGAGGTGTAGTTGAAAGAACTCAAACGCAAAGGTGTGAATCTCGTGATCAATCGATAAGAGAATATTTCTATGGCTCGAGGACACCTCTCTACCCGCACAGCTTTGAAGTGAAGTGGAGCGAAGCAAAGGTTTTCAAAATTGGCGCACCTCCATTACCTTCTTCTTGTATGCCATTGGGAATGAGGGCAGAAGATAATTTAACTAAATTAGTCGCGGTCACTCCAGGAGCCAATCTTCTACACCATTTGCTCTCGGTATCGTTTGCAGACTCTCCGGAAGACGATGTTGTTAGAACTAATGTTTTAGGATTTGTATGTGTGTAAGTATTATTTATTAATGAACATTGTTGAATAGTTTAGAATTCATTTTTTAAGCTGAAAATGTGACTAAGACTTTTTTTTTTTTTTTTTTTTTTTTAACGAAATATTCAATGTACCACATGTTTTTAACTCGAAGATTTATTTTTAAGAACAAATGTTGACGCGGAACGACAGACTTTCACCATCCTCAGTCCCCAACCAAGGCCACTGCCAAACGACATTTTGCTACTCAGCGAGATCCAATTCATGGATACGCATTAAGAAACGTTGTTGACAAACCTTTAACTAACTTACGGTGTTTCCGTTGGGGTTACCACCGCCGGGGTTGGCCTTGCACGCCCCTTGCTGACCGACGTATGGCTCCTGCCGCCCTGCCCACGCGAAGAGCGGCAGTAGTGCCGATACTCGAGTGTTTTTTGTGGCTGAAAGAAGAGAAAAAAGTACTTTAGCAGTGGTCGTACTTAATTGGTGGAGAAAAATGAACTCACTTCGTCGTCGAGTACCGCAAGCATGCAGCTGCTAGCAGACTTGGCTGTGGGTCTGGAAGAAATTTTATGTATGTTGGATTACATTTTTATTAATAAAGAGGGAAAAAGATAAAAAAAGGAAAATGTTTACTTGGTCACTGTAGCCATACTGCTCAAGTACTCGTCTCTGTTGCTCGGTCACGGTGACTGCAGTTGCTTGTCGTGGATGCAAAATTCTCTGGGTGCAGAATGTCTTTCGGTCCATTTGGCAGATCGCAGGTGATTACGGCGTTTTAAATAAAATTTTTGGCCGTGACCTTGTCCCTATTCCAAGACTTTGCGCACATTGTTTTTTTTTTTCCCCATCCTTTACGATGTTATTTAGAAACTGAGCTCAAACTGCACATAGCTGTGTGGACAGGTACTCGTCCGAATAATAAATCTGAAAGAAAAAAGTTTTAAAAATCAAATAACATAAATAATATATTGAGTTTACTGAAGAAAAATAAATGCATAAAATAAATTGCTAATTTATCGCACGTACTTCGAGATTTTGGGGGTTCTCGGTTGTATTGTCCACGAGCCGCTTTTTTACTATCAACTTCATCGGTATACTACGTTGTCTACGGATTTTACCGCTGATATTTGTTCGTCCGAGGGCCAAAAAAGTTGATACAGCTTCCTTGTCCTTTTCCACGTAGTCGCCTTATATGATCTTGTTGACCAAATGATCGACGGGGCCTTCTGGATCGTACTTTTCGATTTAACTTCAATCTAGACATAAACTTCGTGCGCAACAGGGGTCTGACATCTCGGTAGTACGTCAGCCGAAACCTGGTCGCTCGATACGTCGGTGATACCATCAGAGTTGCAACTCGAGTATCAATTCTGGTTTGCAGACCCGCTGCTCGCTATTTTCTCGTCACTTCGCCAGATTGACATCGAAACCACCTCTCAGATAACATTTGGAACTCATCCATGCCTTTTAGATCGACGCTCGTTCGAGACTGCTTGGCCTTGTCCCTATTTGCAACATTCACTACGTACATGGCAAGCGACACAATCAGACCCAGATCCATTTCAACATATTTGGTGTACTGTTGCTTTCTGTTCTCTTCTGGAGCCAAGTTCTCGTTCTTTTTCCTTTTTTCACTTTTTCGGTTTCTCGTATCACCTTTTCCTCGTCCAAATCTTCTTTTTTCCTCTTTGCGTAACGATTCAGGTGCGCTGATTTTCTGCCTCCTGTTTGACCCGATCGCATGGTGTACAAGTGGACACTAGCTTCAGTGTCGTTGCAAGAAACTCGCCAAGCAAACGATGTTTTGTCTTGTCCGTGGCTATACATCTGTTAAACAGAAAACTTCTGAAAACAGAGGCCTCATCTGTTGGCCGCCCTTGACATCTGTGGCTCTAGTCTTAGCAACTACGGTAGCTACGATGAGCACATCTGATGTATCGCATTCTTCCCGTAATTCAAAAATCTATTGCCGATGCAATTAATTGGCATCATGTTGAAACTGTTTTACCTTCGCGTTATCAATTCCTGCTGCATTTGAAAGAAGAAGGGCACAAAGCGCCATAGCTTGGCATTCAGTTGCGACAAGTCGAGATTTCCTTCGTCTATCAACAAAACCTGCAACTCGGGGATGTTGGATCCTTTTCTAACCGCCTCTAGACTTTTCGGTGAAAACAAATTTCAAAGTTGACCGATGACGTGGGCTGTTTGATCGCTTATTTTCGTCTCGACTGGGCCATTTCTTTCTCTGTGCCGTCCATCTGGCCTTCCGTGGCGTATACCGAGGGGCTGACTACACGGCCTCTTTGGCTCTGACTCACGCCAGCAGTCGTTTGGCTACTCGAGTTCCCGTCGAGTTCTTCGGTCCTTTCGGTGCGCCGACCTCTTGGACGCCCACGTTGCGGCGCGTTGGATTAGTCGACTCCGTAATAATTGGCCCTCCGTTGCAGCACGCCAGCGATAGCAGCTCTTTTTTCGGCCAATCGGACCCTTTTTTCATGACAATTTTTACCTTTGGCCTGATGCCTTGTGCGCAGTCTTTGTCAACAGGTTTCCCTGATAATTGCCTCGGCTCAGCGCCACAAGCTCGTCGCTTTCGTCCATTCCTGTTCCTTAAGTAACACTTTGCTCTTTTTCTTCATCTGCCTTTTTTTCGTCTTACTTTTCTCGTCTGTTTTTTTGGCACGAGGTGGAAGCAAAAACTTCATTAGGCGCTTGAACGCATTCATGACGATATTACGTTTCAAGTCATCCACGTACTGTTGGACGATTTCACCGATGAGTGACGATCGCCCTTCCATACGTATTTTTTCAAATTCCGGGCAAATTTCAGCGATAATGGCCATGAATTCTTCAATATTCATTTCAATTCATGTCGACAAATCCTGGCCGTTCAGGAAATTCAACTCTCTATTCCGTTCTTCATCGCGATCATCGACTTGCTCCAGCTCCACTTGATCCGCTTCATCATCATCAGATTGCTGCTGCTCTTCTTCGTCGGCCTTGTTTTTTTTAGCCAGCTTTTTGCGACAAAGATTGAGCATTAACGATTTTTTTTGTCCCTACTTCAAATTTTTAAAGTAAACGTGGAAATCTGGCTTACTTGTATGCAACAACAGCCAATCCTTGAATGTGTTTCTCTCGTGGTAAAGGAAAAACTCTATAACATACGTCCCAAGAGTCGACATTTTTCCTAACTCCGTTACGTCATCTATTATTCGATCTCTATAATAGTTTGATTGGGCAAATAGTTCCTATGGCTAATTTCAATTTTCAATACGGTGCGGTACATTTTGGCTTCGTCGGTTGGGATGATGAAAATTTTCTCAATGCCTCTTCGACAGCAGTATCTTTCATTGGCCTGACTTTGTTCGACTTTCTCTTCTTTTTCCAGGTCTTCTTTTAATTAGTCAATTTTTGTCTAATCACGATCCTTTCTGTACTGATTGAACTTTTCATTTCACCAACCAAGCAAAATTTCGGCTTACGTGGTTGAGATTTCTCTTCCAGCGGAAAAGTAAGATAATATCTTATTTGTTGAGATAAAATAAAATTCTATTATTGTATAAGATTTAATTTTGTACGAGCGAACAGTGTATGAATATCTATATTCTGTGTTAATTTTAAAAGTTGTGAATTTTATATTTTTATAATGGTATTGTAAAAATTCTGCCATATTGCTATGCACATTCAATTGTGGTGCCAATAAAAACTTTTTTCAAACTAAAAAAACAGGCGAGCACCTGGAGCCAGTAAACACTTTAAGAGAGAGAAATGAAAATAATAAATGTAATTGTAAAATTGTATTAAAATTTGTATTGATTAATTTGAACATGAAAATTTATTTTAATGGGCAAGAAATTTTGTGTAAAAGACTGTAAAAGTGGCTTAACATTATTTAGTGCACCAAAAAATGACGTGAGTCTGTATAAGTACATCGTGGAGCGAGATTACTTCAAGTAAAAAATAAAAGAAAAAATATGACAAATATTGTAAAAATGATATGATATACGACGATATTATGAAAAATATTCTGTGTAAAAGACTGTATGTATATGTTTAATGAATAAAGGAAAGGAAAGTGTAAATACCCACAGATAGTCAGTACACAATAATAAAAAATAAAAAAAAGTTGTACTTATTTGTGTTCAACATTTTACTGAGAATGTATGAAACATATGTAAACTACTTTAACTACGTCATATACACGTTAAAGTTTCTGCCGTTATTATACACGTTCGAAAGTTCAAAAGCGCGGAAAAGTTGGTGAGTTTCGAAAACAATGTCGGAAGATCAAGAGACCGACGTCTCGAGCATCTTCGATTTAGAGCTTCAATTACAAGATAAATTTTCTGATCTGCAATGGAAATCCGTGAGTATAATTTGTTTTCCCCCCTCAAATGTAAGAACAACTTATACTCGTGTTTATTCCCCATTTCCAGAAAACGCTCGAGGATACGCAGAGAGAACTATCGCAGGTCCGTCAAGAATTGCTGAGCAAAGAGCTCGAGTTGGAGGAAAGAAATCGAACGATCGGCGATTTGCGGATGGAATTAGCCACGGCTAATCAAGTGATCGAGTGGATCGAGAAGGAACTGTCGAAAACCACGAACGAGAGGATCCAGTTGCAAGTGAACTGCGAAGCCGCGATGAAAGAACGAGAGTCCCTGCTTCAGCAGACTCACGCGGCCAGATTGGAAAACATGACCTTGAAGCTGGAAACTCAACAACTCAATGAGACGCTGGGCCTGAGCGAGAAGACGAGGAGGTCTCTGGAAACTTCGTTGCTCGAGATGCAGGAGAGATTTTCGCAAGTTCACGGCACTCTACAGAGGTACTTTTTTTTTTTTTTTTTTTTTTCGTTAATGAGTAGTGCTTGATTTAATGAAAATTTTTATTGTAAAATAAGCATGTACAACTTTCATAGTTTGTTTGTCTAAATACAACCTATGATATTTAACAACATAATTTTATATTTAATGACAACTATCAATTAACATTCAATGTAATTGTTTAGTAACGTAAACAAGTTAGAAAAAGAACATCAACTGTTACTCAAGTCGGTAGAATCGACATCACAATTGAACAAACGCTTGCAAACAGTGGGATTGTGTAGTCATGCGGTTTATACAAAAAAGAACAACGAAATTGAAGAATTACAAAAAAAGCTAGCTTCGAGAGAAGAAGCAACCCTAAAGCAACATCAGCCTGTTAACTGGAACAGTGTTGTGGAAACTCAAATGGATAGGAAAAATAGATCTGATACAAAGGTGACCGAGTTATTACTTTTTTTTTGTCAACCACAATTCTTAAGTTTAAACGTGAGTTAATGAGATATAAATATATGTATAATTGACTATATTGCAAACAGTATATTTGTACATAATTTTACCTAGGTTTGTAGTAAAAATTGATTTTTTTTTTTTTTCAAAGCGTATACAAATTTATGACTTAACAACAAATCATACAATTATAAAATGCTTTAACCGTAAAAAAAATTTATAAAGAATATTAGTTTTTATAGAATACGTCTAACAGTAGTAATTAATGTACAAGTACAGTATTTAAATATTCTTATTTTAATAAAGATAATTGACTGATTACTTTCAAATATTTAGTAAAAAAATTACAATGCTATTTTATTAACAATGGCATTTTTTGTACTTACAAAAACTGATGAGAAATTTATAACGTAATAAAACTTTGAACTTAAAAATAAAATATTTCTTTTACTTCATAGATGCTGCTGGAACAAATCCGCATGGATATCGAAAGAAGTAATGAAGTAGATCAAAAAATGGAAGCAATGTTAACAGAATTCGAAGATGTTGACCGAAAAAACTTTTTGGATTGATAGAGGAAAGGCTGGGTAAATTATTTAATAAACATATACAATGGCATAGAGACATTGGATTAATATAAAATGTATTGTAATATTTTGTTTTTGTATATTCAGATCCGAATAAAAACAATTGGAATCGTCAAAAAATGCAAAAATCTATAAGTATTCGCGCGAGCTGTAACAACAAGCAAATACTATAATTTTTCTTCTTTGTTATAACAGATTTTCTGTACATAAATAAATCGACTTACATTTATAAACATAAAATTTTTTGATTCAACATACAAAAAAAACACTTCTTCCCTGTACTCAGGTCGAACGTTGCAAAGCTATAGACAATGATCATTTTATGACTGTTTAAATGTCAATATAAAACTCGTGAAAAAGCTATTTATCAACAATGACGTAAAAAATGATTGTGTCTGGCTTTGTTTACAACTCTCTCCATTTGATTTCAGTAAATTAACGAGCTATGGGTAAAATATTTCTCGAAAAATAAAAAAAAAGACGATGCATTAATTATTGCTTGCAGTTTTTAGTGGCATACCTCGTTTTATAGAGAAATCTATGGAGATAAAGTTTGAAAAAGTGTTTTGTGGTGCAAATGGAGGCCAAAATAATGAACAAAGCGCTTCGTCAAAAAACGTGTCACTGCAACACAATAAAAATTTTTATTCGTAAATTGCATCACATCATTATTTACTAATACGACTGCAACCTGACTTTCACAGTTTTTACAACAATTTTATACAAAGAATTAAAAATACTTCCAAGTTTTTGTTTAGTTTTTTTTTTTTTTTCTAATCGTTGCTCCTTTTTTTTTCTTCATTTTTTAAAAACTGTTGGTCGTGATTTGTCAATTACGCAGCCAAGTTTGATTCTAAAAAGTTCGTGTATGTTTCACAGTATCTAAAATAAAAACTTGCTCAACTCATTCGTATCGAATTCGACGAAGGAAAGTAAGGGACACTATTTTATCGTGTGAATAGTTCAGCCTATGAAGTCAGTACAGTTTCTCCCCACCCCCGCCAGTAAATTCCTTATAGGAGTGTCGATTATTTTGTATAATTTATAAAAACACCACCCAATCGACGAGATATCTATCATCAAGGAGCAAAATCACAGGTCCTCTTGGTGGGCAGATGCCCATTGCAAGTCTGCTCTTTGAACGTAAGTAGACAACAGTAGTAGACAAGTGGGCCTTAGTATCGAATAACAGGTGGGTCAAAGTATAGAACAACGCGAAAATAGACTTTGAGGCTTCCTTTGCGGCTCCATAGCTTTTAGTTGGTGGCCGCCACTTTTTGGTGGATTTGATGCCTCCTGAAATTCAGAAATTTAACATGTAAAATTTTTTTCAATTGGGACGTTGACTCGACTAATAAGTTTCAAAAATTTAAGTTACACAGTAAAATAAGTATCGACAAAAAGTGTATTGAGAGCTACTGTAAAGTTAACTTTGAAGCAAAGTACTTGAGTTGTCAAGAGAAAGAAAACTTTTTTGTTTAAATGTAAATTCTGAAACTCGTTAAAAAAAAATTTTAGTTAAACAAATTTTTATAAGTATGCATTGTTATGAGCCGATCGTGTTGTTGAAAAAGTTAATGTATAATTTTCTTTGACTTTCAAAATGTTTCGGAAAAAAAAAAAAAGTAATTCTATTAAAAATTAAAAAACAAACAACAATCGTACACAAACAGTGAACATAAAAATTAGAAACACACAATCAACATGGGTGCAAGACGTTTAAAAAAAAAAAAAAAAAGTACACAAGCTACTATTTATTTCATAAACTATTCAAGTGCGACTGCCAACTAATTTAAATATAGATTTGACAGCGTTCAATAACGAAATGCTGAAGTCAATCACTTTATAAATAGACTTTTTTTTCTACTGTTAACATCTTTCACAACACCACAAATTAATTGTGCAAGTACAAATGGTAGCATAAATTAGTATGGTAGAAATAAACAACAAAATGAATAGTCAGGATAGAGATTACCTTCTGCCAATATAGACCCGCACCAAACACAGAGAAAAAGAGGCATGGGAAACAGATAAACATTGGTTATTTTCGTATATTTTAGAACGAATGAAATTGTTAAAATGAAAAAAGTAAAACGTAATGATGCAAGAGAATAAAGTGTTTCTAATTATGATGAAAATTGATTAATGTACTATGAATATGATTGACCACATAATATTGTCTTTATTGAAATTATTGAAATTAGTATGGGGAGGTTTTAATACCACAAGTTAAATTGCTATGGTAATGAGCGGTCATGCGGTATTGAATCCACATTCATGATTTAATTAAAATTGGAAACACGACCACTCGAATAAAACACTGTGGGAAAACGTAAATTATCTCTTTCTTAATAATATCCATTTAAACAATACATCAATAAATTAATTTTAAATAATCAAAAAAAAATTTTTTTTTCACAGTTAACGTGGAGGAGTAAAAAATAAAACAAAAAGTTGCAAGACACAAAAACAATTAGATAGTGTTCCCACAGCGTAACCTCCACCTAAAGATAAACGAAAAGAGAGGAGGGAAGGAGGGAGAGAAAGAAACAGTCGACGATAACAACTAATCGACTCACCAGTCTTTTTTCCATTTTCGCTTTGATATCCCGGGCAAGATCGAAAAAGGCCTCCTCGACATTGATGCTCGCTTTGGCGGAGGTCTCCATGAATTTGATACCGTACTCAATGGCCAACGCCTCGCCCTGCTCCTTCGACACCAGCCTTTTGTTGTTGAGCTCACACTTGTTGCCCAACAGCATCTTCTCAACGTCAGCTGAGGCGTTCTCCTCGATGTTCCTTATCCAGTTCTTGATGTTTTCGAAGCTTTTCTCGTTCGTCACGTCGTACACGAGCATTATGCCCATCGCGCCTCTGTAATACGCCGTCGTTATTGTGCGAAACCTCTCCTGGCCGGCCGTGTCCCTGCACGAATGGTATTTAGTACAATAGTTATGGCAAGGTTTTGTCGTGCGCGTGTATAAACAGAAAGTAAAAATCTAAACCCAAACATTCTGCAGAAGTTTTATAATTACAACATATAATACGTTTATGTACCATTTGAATTGGTATATTGGAAACTCACCATATCTGTAATTTGATCTTTTTGCCGTCCAATTCTATTGTGCGAATTTTAAAGTCGATTCCTGAAACAGAAAAAAAAAATTCATATGGACGTTGAAGAGACAAAATAATTGAGTTAACTATAGGAATTTCGATGAGTGAAGATAAAGGGTATCAAACGAGACGAAGAGAGGGGGCGATGATAGATAATATATTATATTCGTTCAAATTGTAAAAATTAAATAACAATAATTCACTTTGCTAAATTATTTCGATAGTGGTGACAAATTTTCTAAAAAGTCAATTTAACAAATACTTAGTTACTTGCGGTTACTGAAAGACATTGATTAATTTCTATTCACCTGCTTATCTCAGGAGCAGATAAATATAAATACGATTATACGTCGATTTCAAATATTGAGATATGTCGGCTGAAATGCAACAATTTTTTAGTATAAAATACAGCATTGAAATAATTCAACTATATAATGATTTTACTGCTTCAAGACTTCTATACTACAAAAATGTAGACAAATGTGTGAGTCATTGAAAATAGTTTTGAAGAAAAATAATCAATCCAAATTATAAGAGCTTAAACATTTTTTTTCTACATATCTTTTTTTCCCCACTTCATGCATAAATACTTTTCAACGACGTGCGAGGTCTGAAAAATTTTATTCCCACGACTATGATGTTGTGCTCACTATAAAAAACAAAAGCTCACGATCACGATGCATTTGTACACGACGTTCGTCTTTTTTCTCGAAATGCATCATCATCGCCGTCGTCATCGTCACTATGAGTCAAAAGCAATCGAAACAGTGTGTTTGTCTATGACGATAAAAATGTATATGTGTATATGTATGTATTTGCCAACGCAAAACGTGTCCTTTGTTTTTGCACCACCTGCAGATCATGCGAAGCGTTTCTGCGTTTATGTCTAAAAAGCAGGATATGTTGAAGGGAATCGAAATTTTTAGTTTGTACATTTAAAGGCGGCGATCGAGGTCTAATTAAAAGATGACGCGTCGGCACACCCATGTGTGGTATACGAGGACTACTAGGTTTTTATGTTGAATGGATTTGTAGAATTTGAATTTCAAGGATACACGCTACAAAAATGATTAACTTTATCGCCCAAACAATGATACAAATAAAAATAACAAATAATCAATGCAACAGACGTTTTCTTTCTTGAAATAATTTTAATACAGATAAATAAATTTAAAAATTTTGATTTTTTTTTGTACAAGATAACTGACTATAACTAAGGAATCTTCATTAGGATTAACGAAAAAAAAAAACAAACACATAAGGTAACCATGTGTGGAAACGTGTAACAGCACTCTTTCTTGTGTAAACTACTAATTGTTTAGAAAGAGGACTGACGCTGCTTTAAAACGAGTGTTTTTTTCTTACTTGTAGTGATTTTTAGTACTGAGATGAAATTACAGACAAAAAACGTCATGCTAGTCTGGAAAATTATTTCAATCACATTCATTTGAGGATTAACATTATTTGTTAAATAGAAGGCTTATGTATGTTTGCTCTGATGAAAATACTAGATACTTTTGCGAAGCAATGAGTTTGCAAAATTTTTATTTTAATTCAACTTACTTAACAGTCAATGAAAAATAAAAACTTATTTTTAAATAGTCATTTTCAAGTATTTATACCATTCAATTTGAAGGCTACAATTTTTTAACATTTTTTAGCAGACAATAATGAAAAATCAACAAAGAAGTTCTTGACACTGAAGTTTCACAATGCACTAAGCAAAGGTAACTCATACTTTTAGCAAAGCAGTTACAAGTGCTTTCATAACTCAGAGTTAATAATAAACACTTGTATATTTTATGAGAATAGAAGTTAATTCAAAGAAATCATAAGTAATGGTATAATGTCATATTAATATTAATTTTATGCCATGCTTACTTTATGTATCATCATTCATTGAAAGACAAAAAGAATATTGATAAACAACAATATTAATTACACAATACATGTAATTAAACGCAATTAAAAGATTATTATATATGTACGATTTATATCATTTTATAATAGTACCAGAATCAGATTAATTTTTCTTTCATTCCAAGTATTAGATTGACGACATTCTTTGATTATTACCAGCACTCTTGGTCTACAAAAGCACTATTTATTTGTCATTATCACCACACTGTAATGTGAAATGCAAGTTAAGTATACAGCTCTTATCATAAAAATTATCAAAAAGATAAATGTGATTAATTGTACTTACTGAGAAATAGGTCTTTTACATTATGTAAAGAATTTAAAGTACGAATCAATTATAATCCCATATATAAAAATCTCTATTTAAAGTTCACGCAACACTTCACGATATCATAATAAAAAAAAAATTACGCTCCTACCAAAAAATTTCTCAGAAGCTCTCTCTCAGAGAACAAAACAAACAACACCTGGTCTATTTTCATGAATGACCAGTTGTTTACGTAGCAATGCCATAAAAAATGTAACCCAGCATCCCAGAAGCAGTAGTAGCACAGTAGTTTATAAACACAAGTACAAGTATACTTTTAATATTTTAAACACCAAATTATCAAACAAAGAAATGAGTCAGACATAGTGTAGGTACGTATAATTACAATCGGCAGCAGTAGCGGATCCAGAGGCCACACCGTGTATTTAAAAAAAAAAAAAAAAAAAAAAAAAAAATTATGCATATACACACACAACGGATGCACGCCCTAACCTCTAATGCACTGCACTATTTTTTTTCTAAATTAATAAAGCAAATATTAAAAAGCAGATGATCCCAAGCGTTATTATTGATAAGGTATATGTAAGTGCAACGTAGTCGCATTTGTAAAGTAAAGGCAAGTCAGCCGCATGCGACGACGACGTATGTATATCTACTTTAAAAGACAAGGTCTTCAAGGACGTTGTTTGTGGATATAATGTAATGATGTGTGTATTGCCGTCTCGAATGACGGTATTGGAAATATGGAAATTAGATAAAAAGAATCTAGCAGAAAAAAAAAGAGAGGATGTATAAGTGTTTTGATGAGTTTGCATATGGAGCAGCTAGACATGTAGGTACGAGGGGATGGGCTTCTATTCATCTGACGGATCAGGTGTTTGTATATCAGTTAAGACACAAACGAGGCAAAACATTATATACGCACCGATGGTCGATATGAAGGTCGTGTTGAAGGCGTCCTCGGAGAAGCGAAAGAGAACACAGGTCTTGCCGACGCCCGAGTCACCGATGAGCAGCAGCTTGAACAGATAGTCGTACGTCTTGGCCATCTCGTCGATGGCAGGCCTAGACGGCCGCGAGAGCTACTGAATTTTCTCTCGTTTTTGTGTTCTCTTCCTTTGCTGCGCTGCTTCTTCTTCTTCTTCTTCCTCTTTTGAACACACTGCACACACGCAGACTAGGTTTACTTACTATTAAGTGCAATAGGTTCTCACTCACTCACGCTCTTGCACCACACCAGCACTCACTCTCAACTCAAGTCAACTCTTCCTCAATCCAACTCAAACCAAACCTATCTAAGTATACAACTATAATACCTACCACACGCGAACAACAAATACGTAGGTATTGTATTAGGTATCTTTTTTTATCTTTTGATCGGTGTGATAAGTATCGTGAAATCGTGGTGATACCTATATGACTCTTGACTTGCGACTACTTACTAAATTGTAATAGCTGTAGCAGCCGTGTCGGGTTTTCACTTACATCTATACATCTGCATTAGTTATACATCTCTTTTTTTTTACTCCGCGTTGCGTGTGCTGTCATTTATCAAGTACTTACTCGGCAGCACTAAATTTGTTTTTTTATCAGCGCGCCTGAGAAACCGAAAACTCCGATACGATAGGGTTATTTTATTTGGCACAATAACCGAATGGGCGCACACGACGACGTGCTCGACGAGAGGACCTATGCGGCTCTAGATGATGATGGGCTTGGACTGCCGTAACTCTCCAACGGACGCCCGCCACGCCAGCTGTGTATATATATATATACGCGCGCACGCCCCGCGACTGTTTTTCTTCTCTTATTCTTAATCTTCCCCTTATTGTGAGCTTTTCTGATCAGCGATTATTAATTATTATTCTATTCTCTTTAGAGTTTCGGAGTCTGCGGATATACTTACAGCTATACAGTCTTCGATAAAAATGTTACCATATTTTACTCTTCCTCTGATAGGTGCGCGACTTTACGCGGAGATAAGAATGGGTACTTCTTATCTCTTTACGGGTAAAACAGGTTAAACAAAAAAAACTGTTGTCGACTGTCGACTAAGTATATGTCGAACAGTCCGCACAACGAAGCCGAATTTTTTTATAACAAAAATGAAGATCAGGAAGGTTTTTTGTTGATAAGTAGGTAGTAGTTTTTTTTGGAAGGGGGGGGGGTAAAATCGCATTCACTGCTTAATGCTCATAGAACAGTGTTTAAAATCTACCACATGATTGCCTCTTCGAGCAAAAGGCGAATTCTACCGGAAACCACAATATTATACTTAAAAAAAATGTTCACATTAGTCTAACTTACGTATCAACTTAATAAATATTTAATCGTGTCCATGCGCCATGAGAATAAATTCTTTTTTTTTATTAATATCACCCTCGTGACATTTAAAAATTTCCATACATAAAAGAATAAAAAATTGTATGAAAAATGTTTTTGCACGCATGATTCATTGGATGAATTTGAATATTTATATATTTACACGCTTAATCTAGTTTTAATGAAAAGACGTAATTAAACAATTGCATATTGTTCGTACAGTAAGTCTCGCACTCGGAAGTATTCTTCAGAAAGACATCCCTCTAAGATAATTTTACCAGCCTCGTGCTAAAAAAAAAAAAAAAATGTATATATTGAAGTTTCGTATAATTATCAATATTTTATGGAATAACAAACAATTGAGACAATGTAATGAGTAAAAAGCTGAAATTATGTGTGCTGATTTAGCATGCAAATTAAAAAAATGTATATCTTACCCTTCTCACTGCAATAGTGTTATTACAACACCATAAAACTCCACCAGAGAATTCAGAGGCAATGTTGGATTTGTTCAAGATTTGTTTGAAATCTGATAATTTCAGTTCATTAATGAATACAGTTTGATGTCCTGGAATCTAAAAAAAAAAAAAAAAAAATGTAAAAACTTGTTTATAAGTAAATTGACAATGTTGCGTGAATTAACATTAACAATACACTTACTTCATTGGGTGCCAAAGGCTCTAATGTATGAATTTTTTCAGCTCTGTCAATTGTATCGTCATTTTCAGTTTCCATTATAACGTCACGACAAACTTGATCTCTAGCCGTTATCAGAGCATCCACCCAAGCGACTTCAGAATCTGCTTTTCCTCGTGAAAAGTTTAATCCAGAGACTAAAGCATCAGTCAAACGTACCTGAAATAATAGTAAAAAAAACAAGTAGAAATTTTTTCAACCTACATTATGTTCTCCTGAACTGCAGGAGATGGAAATAATAACGCACAGAAAAAAAAATGTGATTACTTGATAAATGTGCGTTTCAGTTGTAGCATCCACAGTTGCTCCTCTTGAAGGAATCAAAACACGTGCACCAATATTCTGTGCTTGCTCTTCCAGCAATTTAGAATCCTTCCACGAACCTCTCACCAAGACAATTCTTCGAGGCCGAAGTTGTGCCAGGATTTTTTGTAATGACTCGCCATCCGAGCGACCCTCGAAATCAATGTATGTCACTGAAGCGTTGACAGCTACAGTGCGAGTGGTCTGGACACACTTTGTTGGAATATCAGCATTGAATTCTGATGGACGCTGCTGCATTAGCTCGTCTTGAACTTTGGTCTCGACGTTTTCTTTATTTTCCTCGGCTTCAGGCAGTATTTCTGCGATTTTGTAATCTTCAGGTCTGTAATAAATTATTAATTGTAAATAACAGAAGCATTTTTTATCCATCGACAACAACTTGACTTACTTAATAATTTCTCCATATTCATCTACTTTGATCTTTTCCTCAATGACAGGAAACATAGGATGTTGCTTTTTACTTTGCTTGAAAAAGCCCTGTTTGTGCTCTTGCTTCACTAATAAATCGTGCTTACCGGTTCCACCTCCTACATCTAACTCATCTTCAGATTCCGAGCTGACATCAGCAGTCTCCCTGAAAATTAATTTTAACACGTTATGTACTACTAGTTGTTAAGGAATAATTAGAGGACAACTAATAACTATAAAATGTTACATTTTGTCTTGCTTTAACTGCTCTTGCTTTAGCCTTTCCTTTTTCAAATACTCTTCCAGCTCTGCTCCTTCTAATTTAACTTTTTTTTTTATTTCCAAAGTTATGTTTCTATTCCCACCGTTTTCTTTGAGATCTCTAGCCAATGTACCTGGTGAAGTTCGGCTCGTTATAATAATACTATTTTGAGGATTGCTGCACCACTGCAAAAAAAGATCGCGCGAAAAACCGCATTCCATGTCTGGAGTGCTGGCTAAGACAACCTATAAATAATAACCACATCAATAAACAAATCATTTAGAATTTACTTACATTTGTGATGGCAAAATTAATTTTTTAAGCTTTGTCTCTAAGAAAAATAAAAAAAAACTCACTATACCTTTGGACTAGGAACTAGGTTTAATTCAGCCATGCTATGACAAAGTTGTAAATGCTTAAATTGGAACGGATTATTTCTCGCACCTTCAAAGGTCTTCATAAGCTTGTCGCTCATCCATTCAATCTGCGATTTTGCGAATTCAACGACGTTGTAACTAACGTTGTTTAGTAATGCCAACGAATAGGCAAGTAGACCAGATTCTTTATTCCTCCATAATTGATCCAACATGTGGGCTAATTCTAAAACTCTACCAGCGGTGTCAACGCCTACAAGAACATTACCTCCACCACGAAGAGTTTGAAGAATATTTGCTGATGGTGAAAAAATAAATAATAATAAAATCATCAAAATCAAGTAATGAAAGTTAAAGATTATCCAATTTGGAAAAGTTTAACAATAGTTAAATGACTTGTGTGACTAACTCATTAATTTTTCATCCCTTGTACGTCGTCTTGCCTGTTGATAGGTCGCATTAAAACTGTCTGTTATCAAAAGGGATGGCCTCTGTAACCTTTCTAATTCGCAACCATTCAAATGTCTCTCTTTTTTGTGATTGAAATCTACGGCATATATGATATCTTCTTCCCCAACTTTTACTATTTTCCATATTGTTCCACCGATCATGTGACCAGCTGGCAAAGGTGTCAACGTAACACCGTATCCTTTATCTTTCATAGATATACTCTGATTGTATTTCAACTGTACAATTTTTTCAAATGCAGCATCAACATCATCAAGCGTGAATAATGTAAAATCTTCCATGTTGTGTCTAGACTAAAATGAATCAGAAATGCATAAAAATTCCATTTTTTTTTTTTTTAATTAGCATAAGCATCGTTGATTCTACAAACCTGAAAAATATCATACATAAACATTTGACCCATTTTATAAACAGGTATCGTTGCATATATGGGACAACTTAATCCACATTTACCCACTAAATAGGGTAAAGCCCCTAAATGTAAGGGATCTGGATAAGATAACAGAACAGCATCTATTTGATGAACATGCCTTCAAAGAAGTTAAAGATTCGAATTATAAATAATTGCAAAGTTGACACGTTTCGTAAGGAAAAGGAAACACACCTCTTCAATTCTTTTATAAAGTCTTGGTCGAATTTCTCATCCCAGCCACAATCTAACAGTATTCTCAGCTCATCGACTTGCAATATGTAGCAAGGAGGCGATTCATCTAGAGCTCCAGAAATGGCATGTAATTTTATAATTGACGTCATTTTTCGACAATGCTGCAATAAATTAATATTTATTACTTTTACAAGAAATGGTGGTAAGTTACAAGTACATGAGTAACATGAGTTAGATACGTTAACAAAACACAGAAAACCCATTATTTATTGATTTTAAAGAATTGGAATTCAAAACAAGTGTAAGAAATCAGCGTTTTAACTTATTTTTTGAAAGTTTCCGGTGTGGTAAGAAAAAAAAAAAAAAAAAGTTTTAAACCGGATTAGCAAACCGTGCGCAGGATACCGATGGATACCTCTTTTTTTTTTTTTTTTTTTTTT